TAAGCAACGATTCAAATGTACATTGTAAAGAAAAAGTTTTCTATTCAGGAGACTTGTTTCGTCGAGATCGATTAATGCTTGTCCAATTTGCCTCGAAGATTGAATAATAGCTACAGTATTATTTTTGAGAATGTTAAATGTTACCAAAATGACATATTGGTACATTTAGCAGCTATCTAAAAACAAAATATCCTCAACCCCAACCAAGTTCTTAGACCGAGATCTATCCATCAATAATCATTGGCGAGGTTATGGTAATCTAAAGTCAAGTTGTTAAAGGTTGTGGTTTTAAGGCTTACGTACAGCTTCTAACCAGACTTTACACGCTGCGCATATTTAAAAACAAACATTTTCAACAAAGAGGATATTCAGCAATAAGGATCACTCGTCCAATGATGTTCATTTGGTCATTATCTAATACGTACAGGTGCCTCAGCCTGCATGGCAAATAGAAATAGAAGATTAAAAGTGAAAATTGAAACAAAGCGGAAAGTTGAATTAATAGAATTTTATGTTATGCTTTAAAATATGTGTGAAGACAAAGAAATTGTTATAAATGTCATAACTAATTTATGGAGCTAAGATTATATCATTAGCGATTCCAGACATACGGACACCGTGCTTATCTCGAAGAAAGTGCAATAATATTTTTGATCATCTGGAGGACTTGAAACCGCACAATTGTAATTTGTGGCGAATTTTGATATATTAGTAGTATATAACTTCATATCTTAAAATAAGGTTTTAATTTAATTTTCTATGGATTTAGCATTTAATTTTCCATATCTCAAACACTATTGTACCTATCTTGAAGTAATATTTGGACACAAATGATCGTTGTTTCTGGTGTTATAATTATGAGTATCTTGATGAGTTGGATAATTTTTAAAGTGAGTTTTAACATGCAAGAGGCAAGCATAGATGTATACACAAGGCAATGCCATGATATTCAGATTAATAAACTCGTTCCTGCAAGGAGACCTCAAACTTTACATGAATCTAAAACATCTCTGTAAGCCAAAAACTCTAGGCATCTGTGGAGAATAACCTCACGCCAGAATGGCGTTAAGCTATTTTTCGGTGGAGGTTTTCGTGATCACTGACGAGCAGAATTTCCTGAGGCACTACATTTCTCAGATTTCGTATTAGATAAATAGCTTTTTTCAAAGATTTTGTACCATGATTTACATACAAATTCTAACTCATAGAAGAGTCAACGTGCACCTCCAGAAACGTCACTGTTCTTGCGTTGTCATTATTTGCGTCAAAATCCCGTAGAGAAATACTCATTGTCTGAGTTTTGTTGTGATTTGAGACCAGCCCATCAACAACAGCGTACAAACGCCTTGTTGACTTTTGCTCTGGGGACAATAGTTTTATTGCTAATCAGGTGATGACAAAAATTAAAGGAACACACAAAATAGTCGAACTGTTTGGCTATTAACCTCACTGAATTGTTTCCAAATTGTTTCACAACTAACACCAGCCGCTACTTCCGCATCAATTAATATAATTGATAAGGTTCTTCCAATGGAAGAATGGAACGGTGAGCATGATTCCGATTGTTTTATAAGCATTTCGATATACTTCCAAATTATTTTCTAAAATGTACTGGATAAGTTGTCGATGCGTCATTGACAGAGTCTGGATTTTAATAGCTGGAGTTTTTCATATGCAGTTCGAAACCCCATACGTCATTGTCTTCACATTTCCATGTGTGTACCGTGTGTATGATCGCAAGGCAACATGAAAAATAATTTCAAAGCTCGGAATTCAGTTAGAATAAGGCCTGAAAGTTGCACTTTCTTCGAGTCAACCGTAGACACTCGAGATTAGTATTGACGTAACGTTGCTGCTTAAATACATTAGTTACTGCAGTTATAGCGTTTATAATGACTTCTTTGTTTCTCTAAAAATACCTAACAGTTTCTGTTAAAAAACATCTCATTCCTTTTTAAATCATTTTCAAGGCACATGGAAGCTAATAAATATGCGCAGCATATCTGAAGCATATTGTGACGGTGCTAGAAAACCGAAATCTTCACAAAGCTTCTATTATTGCACATAACCCGGATATTTTCCAATAGTCTGAATTTTTTATCCAGGATAACGACATTCACAATTCATATTGCCAATATCCAGAATGTTCAGGATTTTCTCGCAAAAAGCAGATTCTTTATATTTCATAGAATTTTTCCGTCTTGACTTTATTATGATATGTCTCTTGGTACGCGTTGTGAATGTGAGTGTATTTCATGGAATTTCATATACATACAAGGTGATTCAAAATGTAGAAGCAATGTTTCTAATTCAATGTACAAACATATAACTATGAATATTGATCGTGACTGCTTTTTTAATAGTGATGAATTGTATTTTAAAAACCATATAGGCATACTTATTTTCAGCAATACACACCCAAAATTTGTCGGTCTTGGATGTAGAACCTGCAACAAACTTGATTGTCGAGAGATCCCTGTCATATCACCCTTTTTGTAAAAAGGTATTGATCCGATCCTTATCAGAAGAATAAATATACTCATTTTTGAAAACACTCTGATGATAGTGAAGTTTGAATTGCAATAGATATATATGTTTTAAGCACATTTGTATTTTTTTCAGATGTACTTACTGTTCTAAGATTATCGCCTGTGTTTTTCGAATCACCCTGAATATTATAGCTTTTTATATTTACTTGTTTGATGGCAATATTCTACGTAAATATGAGCCTGTCATAGCCAATTTAATTCTGAGAATTTTTATATTTAGGTATTTTCTGAACTAATTAAACAGGAAGTCCAGGCAGCAGGAAAAAAATAATTAAAAACCAAACAGTAAAGATCAAAGGGACTTAAGTACCATGGTTTGGATGACAAACAATACTTTTTCTTTTGTTCTCAGTGTAATTAACTTTTGCAGCGCCTCATGAGTGCTTTAGTTATGAAGAGTATTGCGATGTCGTATATTTGAATCAATATGGTCAACCCAAAGGTACATATTTAGGCTTGCACTTTTTTTAAGTTTGTTTAAAGGGGTATTGCTAGTACTTTTCGTCGTAATGTTTCATCGTGTATACAGGGATAACTGATAAACACTTTTGTCGTTTTTTTTTTGTTTTGTTAAAACATGCCTTAAGTTTCGTGACTCGCTACCAATAGTACAACACTGAAGTTGTATTAGAACATTCCACATTTATAGTATATTATTGTAATTATCTTTTTTCTCCATTTTCTTTCTTCAAAAGAAGCTTTGCTTTTTCTTGAAACTTTTTTGAAAAAAAGAATGATTAGAAATAAGTAACTACTTACACTAATAGTCTAATCATAGTAGCAAAATTTCCCCGAAATTATCGTAAAGTCTGGTTTTATTGGTGCAAGTTGTTCAAGGGGATATTTAAAACACGGACGCATAAAATGTCAATACCAATTTTTGTGGGAAAACTTTTTATTTGACAACAAAGAAAGAGAAAATGTGTTTCTTGGGATTCGATCAAAATTCTTGACAGGAACGAAAAAATTTGTCATACAAGATTTTTAGGTATTTAGGAGGCCTACAGAATGAGACCACACGTGAAAAGATCCTACTAATAGCAAAAAAGTTATGGCCGAAAAACGAGGCAATGCAACTACTTGAAATTCTTCAAGTCCGTAGAACTCATACTTCTAAATAACAACAACAAAATTAGAGTATATTGGTCAAGTAGTTTTTTGACAATTTCTAATTATTTGTTTTAAAACACCTGTTCTGTGATTGAACAAATGCGCTAAGATATTCGAAAAAGATACATTACTATATACATTTTAAAACAAACCGGATGTGTCTATCATCTTTTGTTGCGGATTACTCACAAATACGAATTGTTTGAATTTGTTTAGATGAAAAAACGTAACCCATCCTTTTTTTGCATAAAAATAACATTTACCTTCCGAAATGGTTTGCGATTCATATCGGCAAGGTAAACTAGTATATTTCGCTATAAAATGCCCTTTGAACTAACAGTGCATATTGCTCAATAAACTAGGCAGGAAATCAGGTGTTTTGAGATAAACAATTAGAAATTCTCAAAAACTACGTGACCAATCTACTCCAATTTGGTTGTGGTTATTTAGAAGTACGAGTGCTACAAATTTGAAGAATTTCAAGCATCTGCGATAAAGCATCGTCACATTACCAACAAGTGCCGAAACCTGCAGTTTGACTCGGTTTTCGGCCATAACTTTTTCGCTGTTAGTTGGATGCTTCTACCTGTGGTCTCATTTTGTAGATCTTAAAACTCTCATATGAACAGTTTTTCGTTTCTGCCAAAACTTTCGATTGAATCCCAAAAAACACGTTTTTTCTATCTTCGATGTCGAATAACAAGCTTTCCCACAAAAATTGATGCACTCATTTTATGCGCCCATAACTATGATTTTTCATACGTTCTTGAAGCTTATAGGTTTGTGAAAAAAAATTTTTTTGAAGCTTCTATTCGAATTTTTGTTGAATAATGAAAATTCCGCAAAACTTAAAAATCCACTGCTTATTAGTGCTTTATTACGTTCTTTTCGGATCCATCAACAAAAACATGAATTTTTCCTCGGAAAATCGTCAAGAATTGAAAAAACCGTATTCTTGATGGCTTTCTCCAATTTTCGGTGCTTAAAACGCAGGATAGGAAAAGTTGGCTAACTGAAAAACTTAATGATATGTTTTTGATATTACAACGAAAATGTTGATTTATTTCCCAGACAAATGCGAAAATGGTTATAACCGTATTTTCACCGAGTTTCTTCAATTCCAGGGGATTTTGGTCAGGTCAATTCTTGTAATCACATATTAATGCTCTAAATTAAATTTAAATTGAATAAGAAAAATATGCCAATCAAATCACTTCCAAATTACGAGACTCGTGTTTATATAATATATTCTACTCAAACTCATAACCTATCACTGGCAGTGTGAACTTAGCATGGACTGTGGAAGAGTTTGACGAGGATCGTATATTTTGTATGCAGGAACTCCTCAAAAGACCTAAACATTTCTTACTACCAGCAGGCGTCTAAAGATTTAAGTATTCTAGCACCGTCTGGTGGCTTTTCATTCAACCACAATATTCCTACTATATACAAAAACAGAAAGCCTCTCGCTTATCGAACAATATTGGTCTATCACACTGATTTGTATGGTCTTGATCATCAAGGCGACGTAACGCCCGTTATCGAGGTTATCCAAGGTTTGAAGTACTGCGTCCTCATGTAGACGCCTGGTAGGTAGGGCGCAGCACACTTGATGCCGTGCGAGACTGTGCCTGCCAGCTGGTACCGTCCGTCTGGTCGTTGAAGGACGAGAGGTCCACCGGAGTCGCCCTGGAATGACAACAGTTGTTACACAAAAATTATCTCTAAATCATTTATACTTGAAATGAATGTTCATGGTTCCAACGATCTGGGATTATTATAAACAAAATCGTTTGACAGTCCGCAAGGCCATTGCAAGCAAGCTCTTGCAGCTGCAAGACGGCATTGCCTCTGCAAGGCAATTGCATCCAATCATTTTCAGTTGCGAGACCGCCACGCTTCCTGTATACAAACGAACAAGGTTAACAAATCCAAGTGAATGAAATATTCACTGTAATGTTCCTAACTATAATTTAGATTACATGGTTCCAATATTCAAAAACTAGTTTCAATCGGCGGCCAACCAACATCAAAACACAATCAAACGTATATCCTTAAATAACACTGATAAACACAGGATTTGTGACATGACAATTTTTGGGTGTATCTTGTGTATTTCGAGACTCTTGTGTATATAATGTTAAGACGTGTCTATTCCTGTTTATTATATGCGAGCTCTATGTTTAGAGAGCATATTGCGTTTATTAGTAGACTAATAGCAGCCGAGTCAGTTACGTTTTCTGTGCTGAAGAGTACTGAGATGTTCTGAGTACTGTTAATTTTTGTTAAAACGGTGTGTTGTTTTTAGCTTATTGTGATCGAGACTAGCTTTATGGACATTGCCCAGAAATTGTGTAAATAGTGCGAACAGTTTTTGTTATGTGAGAACCTTTAAATCCCGAAAACGTACTTTTACTCCCCTTGTGTTGAAAGCACACGAGCTCTATTTTGTGATTAAAGTTGGCGACCAAGATAAACTATGGGCCCCTCATATATGTTGTAAGACCTGTGTAACGTTGTTAACAGGTTGGTTAAGAGGCGGCAATCGTAAAATGCCCTTTGCGGTACCAATACTTTGGAGAGAACCGAGAGATCATACTAGTGATTGCTATTTTTGTCTCACAAATATTAAAAGGTATTGGACCAAAATCGAAACATACTGTTAAGTATTTTAATTTACCATCAGCTTTGCGGCCCGTTAAGCATAGTCATGAGAATTTCTGTCCCAGTTCCACCAGAATCTTGGTTTTTGGTTGAAAAGTCGAATCCACCGATTCTGAAAGTGATGGTACAGAAAGCTTAAAAATTTCCGATCCTTGAGGCAAAAATTAAAGAAGGCATATTTGTGGTGGCACAAATACGGAAAATCATTAAGGATGACGTATTTGGCAGTGCTCTAAATGAAACTGAATTACGAGCTTGGAATGCTTTTAAATCAGTTACTAAACATTCACTTTTTGAATTCTCACCTCGATTTTTTTCCGGAAAATTTAGGTGCGGTAAGTGATGAACATGGTGAACGGTTCCACCACGAGATTTTTGCTATGGAAAAATGGCAACAAGGCAAATGAAGTATCAATTTGCTTGCTGATTTGCTGATTATTGCTGGACATTGTTAAGGTATACTTCAGGAGCAACATATCGCCGTTAAACATCGACAACAACATTCTGAGATTAATGCTTATTGAGTGTTTATTAGTACTCTTACACACATGTCCTTATTTTTTATGAGTAACGGGTGATTTTTTAAGAGGTATAGGATTTGATTTTCAAAAAAAAACACAAAAAAATTGACAAACCGATTAAATCTGTATTTGAGTCGATAGAACGGTCGACATAATTTAATGTTTAAAGATTATTTCATGTAAATGTTGGCCGCGGCTCCGCTTTAGATGGCCCATGCGCAAGGTCCAATTTTGGCACACTCTCTCCAACATATCGGCCGGTATCTCACGAATAAATGCTTCAATATTGGCTTCCAGTGCGTCAGTCGTTGCTGGTTTATCCCTGTTCACATTAGCCTTAACATAGCCCCACAAGAAATAGTCCAACTGCGTTAAATCACACGATCTAAGCGGCAATTGACGGGCTCCAAACGTGAGATAAACTGTTCACCGAACTCGCCTCTCAATAGGGCCATTGTTTCGTGTGCGGTGTGGCATGTGGCACCGTCTTGTTGAAACCACATGTCAGCCAAGTCCAGTTCTTCCATTTTGGGCAAAAAAAAGTTTGTTATCATCGCACGGTAGCGCTCGCCATTCACAGTTACGTTCCGGCCATTGTCGTCTTTGAAGAAGTACGGCCCGATGATACCATCGGCCCATAATCTACACCAAACAGTGATTTTTTCGGGATGCATTGGTAGGTCTTGCAATGCTTCTGGCTGGTCTTCACTCCAGATGCGGCGATTTTGCTTGTTAACGTATCCATTCAACCAGAAATGAGCTTCGTCGCTGAACACAATTTTCGACAAAAATCTGGATCTTCCTCCAACTTTGCCAGCGCCCATTCACCAAATTGGAAACGTTGTGGGAGGTCGTGTGGCTTCAATTCTTGCACCAGCTGTATCTTATAAGGTTTTACACCCAAATCCTGTCGCAAAATTTTCCACGTAGTGGAGTAACAGAGGCCCAATTGCTGCGAACGGCGGCGAATCGACATTTCACGGTCATCACTAACACTGGCGGATACAGCCGCAATATTTTCTTCAGTCCTCACTCTACGTCTGCGTGTTGGTGGTTTAATGTCCAATAATGTAAACTGGGTTCGAAATTTAGTCACAAGCTTCCGAATAGCTGCCTCAGTAGGCCGACCAAATTGCCCATATATTGGAAGCAGTGCTCGATGCACTCTCTTAACCGAGCATGAATTTTGATAGTAAAATTCAATAATTTGCAAGCGATGTTCGTTCGTAAGTCGATTCATGGTTAAATTATAGACCAAACTGAACAAGTTTGACAATGACACAAGACACGATTCACGCGTCATCTGTCAAAAACAGTGTTGCCAAAAAGATACTAGCAAAAAAATCGCCCATTATAATCAGGAAATAAAACGCCTTATTGCAAGAAAACCGTGGGTGATAGAAAAAAATCGAATGCTATTTCGGGCGTTTTTGATACTTTTTACATAATAACCACCTTGTTTTGCCCATGTGACAAAAAATTATTTTAATTTGTTCACCAGTGTTATTTATACTTGGAATGAATGTTCATCTTACCAATGATCTAGGATTATTATAAACCAAACCGTTTTACAGCCCACAAGAAAATTGCAAGCAAACTCTTGCAGCTGCAAGACGGCATTGCTTTCCTGGATTCAAACGAACAAGGTTGACAAATCCAAGTGAATGAAATATTCTCTATAATATTCTTCACCATGATTTTGGTTTTGATTTTTTATCTTTCACAACACATGGTCTCAATATTCAAAAACTAGTTTCAATCGGCGACTAACCAACATCTAAACACAATCAAATGTATATCTGTAAATAAATAATACAACCGCTTAAACCACCTGACCGGCCTAGGAAGATTAACTAGGTAGTAAAATCATATCTAGGAGAAACATTGAACCAAGTGTGTTGGAATCGAAGGGAATTATGTATTGTAAAAACATTTTTTAGCTGAAAATCGCAATCTTCCATTTATCAGGCCGAGAAGTTTTCACCTTACCCTCGTAAAATTTCATAGTTCATCGATTATTTCAAGTTGTTGTATTGGAACTGCTAGCACTCTACTCACCTCGCAAGAATCCTTCTGCCCGTTAGCATATCCCGCACATAAGAACGATTCCAGGATGACTTTAGAGTGACCAGCTGTCCTAAACATTTCTTGACACACGTGATTCTCCATGATGGGTACTTGAACCTCCTGTAGTACCGCGGGTACTCCTCCGCCATACTTCAAGCGTCCCCAGCCGGTCACTGTTGCCATTCGGCCAGTGAAGTCATCGCCGTCTCTCGGTAGGCAGATTGGTACTGTAATTGGAAATCAACATTATTCACACAGAACAGTCTTTGAAAATGTGACTTTGGGACTTGGTATGCCTTCAGCATAAATGTGTTGCTTTGAACACCTAAAAAGGCATCTAGTAAATATTTTTCTATGGACACCGGAATTTCTACAGGGTGTCCTGAAATTTGGTACTTCCTTTTCAGAAACAAATGGGTATTTCTCAGCAAATTTCGAAATTCATGTCCTGAGCCATTGATGCTAAGTTGCATGGATTTATCCTCAAATTAACATTATTATATCAAATATCAACACTAATATTTTAAAACAAAAAATTCAGATAATATATTGACACAAAAAAGTACGATTAATTTATTTGTCTAAAAGTCATTCCCTCATCTCGTCCCTGGGTCTGGATTTAATAATAAAAAAAATATATACAATCAAATCTGTTCATATTCTTATAAATTGAATACTACCAAAATATCTGCTAATAAGTATGGATTGTACAGTCAAGCTTTCATTGCTAAAAAATAAATATGCATATAAAATTTTTTATTTAAACTATGTCCCTTGAAATGAAATCATTCCCTCACCCATTATAAATATTCGATTTGTGGTCACACTATTTGATATTTTTGAACGCAGCTGTTATGTTTATAAAACTTGGCAATACTGCTAATAATGTCAACATGGCGGAATTTCTTAATTGTGAAAAGAGTTGCTGCAAAAAAGTATTGGATTTCAGTAAATAGAACATTTTATTTCTCTGTGTCATTCACTGTTTATATTAAAAGGTGTCATTATACTGTTCGAATGCCTCAATGGTTTTTTCTTGTTTTGAGGAGTAAAATGCATTCACAAAATGCTAAATCAATTTGAGGTGATGTACTGTTGGTTACGGTGTCGTTTATGCAAATCCGTCATTCCCTCACGGTAGTTCCCTCACTAGGTTAGAAAGTAAGGCAATGAAAATTATATGAGGGTACGATTTCCGCATATATAAAATTGTGGTTTGGGTGTTATTGTTTAGCTTCAGGTTGTATTTCATGTGTTTTTAATTGTAACAGATATCCGTATATCAAGAATGGGTAAAATGAAGAAGTTATGTGAAGAAGAAAATACATTAAAAAAGGAAGGATTACGACACAAAGAGGCAAGAACAGATGAAAATTAATGAGTCTTTAGAAGATTTGCGTGAAAAAGAAAAAAAGAAGTCAAGTTGAGTCAATAAGTTCTATAAGTGAATAGTAAGGTTTATAGGGAAAAGCGAGTTACATTACAAAAAAATTTACATAGAACCGTTGAAGAAACACCCCCACCACGACCTGCACCGTCTTTACAGCACAGAGCAGACAATTTGTCTGCTCTCAATAGACGTAGAATGCGCAAGCGGCGAACTATTCTGTACGCCAAGATTAAAAGTTTGGGAAATAAAGTAAGGAACGCAGTCAAGCTTAGCGAAAAATATAAGAAGAGGTGTTTGATATTGAAATCTAAAAGCACTGACCTAAACTCTCCAGCAACTAAAGTGTCTTCGCTTTTAAAGAATATATAAGTTCCTGACGTTGAAATAAAAAGACTCATTTTCGGAGAAGCACTGTCAACGAACCTCAAGAATATCAATGAAGATCTTGGAAGGAAACATGGAGAAAAGAAAAAATATTACAAAATCTTGAAGCTGCAATTAGTACAAAAGATACATATTGCTATATAGATCGAAAAATTTTTCAAAAACGATACGAACAAAATGAACTGTACTCGTAAAGATAGCTCCAAAATGCTGAAAGTTAAGGGTGATCTTGTTCATTTCTTAGAGAAGGATAAAAATACGAGGATGTGCCCAGCGAAGAACGACTATCTAAGCTCTCTAAAGTATAAAACAAATCTCAATACATCGATTAATATATTAAATTATGTTTTTTATTGAAATTCAGCATCAAATTGTTGTAAAAATCATTCCCCCATCCTATCAGTCATTCCCTCATTTCATAGTTTTTGAAAATTCATTTTTCTACATGTTATGCACAAAAATATGGAGGACCTTCATTTTCAATGAACCTCATTAAAGTAAAACTTTATACTTCTGCAAAAAAATGATATTTCATTACTTTTTTTTTAGAAATGGAAAATGAAATTTCTAAATTTGTTGAGAAGTACCCAAGACGTTTGAAATATCAAAGCTAATGGGTGATCACCGAAATCGTAAAAAAGAAACTGGAGAAACTTACTCATTATTCATGTGTTAAAAACGTTTTCTAGATATTCGAACTTTTATAATATGAATCCTTATCAACCTTAATATCACATCATTAAAACCGGTAAGACATATGCCTAGCTTATAAAAATTGAAGGAACGCTCGGCTGATGTTTTGAAACAAATTATAACTTCAAGGCTTACTTAGAAATGTTGGCTAATAACTAAGATTTGGCAATGTAAATGTCTGACATGTGATACGTCCAATAAGCCGTCTATAAGAAAAAATAAAGGACAAGGGACCAAGAATCATATTGAGATTCCAATTATGCCACATTGCAGAGGAGACAAAGTTGTCAATGTTGACGTACACATACTTTTTATTCTGAAATCACATTTTAAATGAAGTAAAAACGCAAATTCGGTTTATTCCGTCTTTCTTTGAAAATACTGAAATGCTGAACTCTGAAGTGCCATTTTCTGAGTTACCTAAATGCGCAGCTTTGCCTCCAGTTCACCGTTTTCGTAATAACTTTATTGCGACTGCACGTGCATAACCGAAGAGGGCTTTGACGACGCTAAAGCTCTCGAAAAAAATACAGCTCTGCAGCGCAGGCGTAGATGTTGAGAAATTTCAACAGCTACTGAAAAATTGTGCCCTGGTCTAGCCATGACTTTTTGAAATTTCAATAGCATCTTTGAGTAAGGCATTGGTATTCATATAATGAATGATCTCTGCAAAAATGATTGCCTGTTCTTTTGGAACCTTGGTGTGAGTTGAAGTGAACATTTATAAATTTTAAATATTTTTTTTATTTTGAATCTTTGTTATTGTAAATTGTGTGAAGCATAGTAGACCACACTTGTCCATTGATACATTTGTAAAATGGTATGAAGCTTTTTATGCACTTATGTTTGTTCGAAGTATCATCGGTTTGTATCTCCAACACCAGCAACCTTGGCACTATTTTCTGAGCCCCGTATAGCAACGTACGACTACTGCTCCACACCTTTATACATTGTACATATTTACCGACTACCAAAATCTAGTCTTTAAGCACAATAAGCACACATATACCTTTTTAATGGGGACTTCAGTCCATGAGAGGTTAAACGTGCGCTTGATTCAATTTCCGGAAAGTAAGTAAAATGTCTTTACAGCGACAAAACATGTAAAGTGGTGAAAGTGTGATGCATAAAAAATGCACGTCATGAAGTCGTGCTGAGTAGGTGCAAGTGCCTCTGGGTACTTTCTCAGATTGGTACTTCTCATGATCAACATGTTTTGCATTCATAATTCTAAAGCATGCACGTTAAAACATATCCTGAATAGTGTAGTAAAAAGTTCGCAATCTTGGCAGTCTTGAAGCATTCTCCAATAATGACAAATATTGATGTTGAAACGTAAGATTAGCTTACCACAACAGTCCATATTTCTATATCCTTCTTATGATATGACTCAGCCTATTCAAAAATGATTTAACTATAAGTGAAAAAGTAGCCTTTATACAAGATGTTTCAGAACTAAGGGATCAAACTTCTAGGGGTTATTCAGTGTAACAGTAGAAAACATTTGAGTATAGGGACCCATATCCGGAAAAGTTTCACTACGGCACTACGCCCCTAAGACGTGTTAAAATTTAGAAAGACGATGAATTGCCTAAATAGGATTTAGTGCATTTAATGTTTGCCTTTTGTACATGATATCATCACAACGATTGTTCAAAATGTCTTCCTCCAACCTGAATACCCCGATTTAAACGTCGCACATGATTTCGGCGGACTTGACTAAAAATTTGATACCCGTTTGAATGATTTCAAATGCTGCTGTAATTCGTCCAATTAAGTCTTGCTCTGTTTCTACTGGAGTTTCGTAAACCAAAGACTTTACATGTCCCACAGGAAAAAATCTAGCGACGATAAATCGGGTGACCTAGGAGGCCAAGAAACTGCTCCACCTCTGGCAATCCAACGGCCCAATCAAATAATGATCAACGATATCTGCCCATACGTTGACAGACCAACTTTGCTGATGTTTTCTAGAAAAAACTGCATGGGGATTTTCTTTGTCCCAAACGTGGCTATTCCTACTATTAAAAATACCGCCTCTTGTGAAAGATGCTTCATCGGTCCATAACACAACGTAAAAAATTTGGTTATGCAGCGATTTGATGAAGAAGCCACTGAAAGAATTGTACTCTACGATGATAATCAGCTGCAGTCAATCCTTGAATTTTCTGGAAGTGGTAAAGATGAAGTTGTTGCTCGTGTAGCACCCGCCAAACGGAACCGTTACTCGTATTCATATCCTCAGCAATGTGAAGTATGCTACTCGACGGTTCGTCGGCAACTCGCTGAAGGACCTCTTCTTCAAATTCGACCGTTCTTACGGTTCGAGCAACACCAGTATCATGCATGTCGGTTTTAAACATGCCTGTCTCGGAGATCCGCCGAAGAATAGCTATAAACTTTTTTATCCCGGATGCTTTCGTACGGGATAACGTTCTTGATACAGCCGCGCTGCTGCTCGTGCATTGCAGCTTGTTCCTCCGTATGCCAAATGCATATCCGACAATTTTTGACTGGTAAAGTTTTCCATTAGTAACAATTAATTTCTGTTGAATTTTTGCAAACCTCACAAATACCATAGCACGACTAAGGCGATATGGAATTTAGCTACAAAAAACAATCTCTGTTATCGTTTTTAAAGATAACAACACACAAGTGCCGAATATGTGTCCTTATACTCAAATGTTTTCTACTGTTACACAGAATAACCCTTACAAGTTTGATCTCATAGTTCTGAAACACCCTGTATAAGGGAAATAC